AAAATTTTAAGGCTTCATTTCTCCAAGGGTATCAAAGTTTTTAAAACTAAATATTTACTGAAGATTACTTATTGAGCAGATATTGTGTTGCTGTAATAAAAATTATACTACCTTATACAGAGTGTCTAAAAATTTATATTAAATATTTACTAGCTTTAAACGGCAATAACTTGTTTAATTAAAATGAAACACCCTGTATATTTTAATCAGATGCATAATTTAATTTCTATCAAATTGTATTATACCATTTTTTACCTTATCTCTTCAAATTTTCGTAGAAAATGCATTTTCTTGTAATTTAGACCTCATTTATCATTATATCCATGGAATATTGACATTTTAGATTTTTTTAAAGCAACATATGTACAAAATATACAGGTGGTAAAAATAATAATATTGCAAGCAATTTTTTTTACAAATAGGAAACTATTTAAATCTATGTGAAATAGTATACCAATTAAATATACCACCATTATTTCCGCCCAAAAATTAGTTAATTACATACTTAATTCTTTTAATTAATAAATTATTCTAACTAAATGTAGATTTGGAATCAAAAATCATTATAATAATAAGTCAGAAATCAATATAATAAACGTCTCTGTTGTTACAAATAAGCATTCGTCAAAAAATGAAATAAAATTTATAAGGTGGTACTTTTTACAGCACTGTCGCACACTAATACACATACAAAATTCAGTTTTTTAGTATTTGAGGATATTATTATTAATCATCGTAAACAGTCAATGAGGAATGAATACTGGGATCATATTAATTGACCCTCTATAACAAAAAATATGTAACAGCTTTTTTATTTTTTAATGAAATAAACGAACTATATCTCTATGAAAATTTGTTTTTTCCATCTCTAAAAATAATCTAAAATGTCAATAGTCCATGGGTATAGTGATAAATGAGGTCTAAATTATAAGAAAATGTATTTTGTACGAAAACTACGAAAAAATTAAAGAGATGGGTAAAAATGGTATAATACAATTTGATAGACAATTAAATTGTGCATCTGATTCTCCTAAAATATACAGTGTTCCGTTTAAATTAAACAAGTTATTGCCGTTTAAAGCTAGTAAATATTTAATATAAATTTCTAGACACTCTGTATAAGGTAGTATTTTGTATATTATTGCAAAAACAATATCTGATAAATAAATAGACTTCAGTAAATATTTAGTATTAAAAACTGTGATACCCTTTGGGAAATGAAGCCTTAAAATTTTTACTGCAATTTCAGAAAATTGAAAATATTTAAAAAACAGTAAGGTTTAAGTGTGATAAATCTTAATCAAATTTACCTTTATTTTAATCGTAGAATCTAGAAATGGAATAATATACAGGGTGTTCCGTTTAAAAAAGTACAACTATAATATTTTTTCTTATTTGGGACTCTCTGTATCTTGTAAAAATATTTTTAAATTGTAGTTCTAATAGCAAAATAAAAACACTAGATCACCAGAATACACCAAAACACCTACTTTTACACTGGACGCGCGTTTCGCTAACCATGTTAGCATTATCAGCAGATGATTATAAACTAAAGTACAATCTACAAGTTGAGCGTTTATATTCTCGCCCAGTGGGCACCGAGTGGGCGTGGCAAAATCTAGCCAACCGAGTCAGAGCTCACTGAGCGTAACAGTTAGATTTCCGCCACTAGAGTAGTAGGAACAAAGAACTTGAAGGAATTGGACCGTTCACTCTGTTCATACTATCTTTACATTTATTAATTCTGATGCTTTCATATGCATCTAATTGCCTGTAATTTGAGACTTGTTTAATTAATTTTAAATTATTAAGATCTATACAATGTTCTTTATCAACAATATGTTCGGCAACGCAAGATTTATCCGGTCTACCATATCTTATCTGAGCTAAATGTTCTTTAAATCTAGTTAATATTGATCTTCTAGTTTGCCCAACATATTTCTGATTACAGGCTTTACAAGAAATTTTATAAAAGTTAGTTTAATTTTCTTAGTTCATAGATTACTTAGTTTCCCACTTTCCAACGAAAGATATGAAATAGAAAGAGATTACATTAGGAATGTAGCTGAGTGTAATGGATATTCTCCTTCACTAGTTGATAAATTAATTAGAAAACGTAGGTATAGGTTAATGATTTCTGAAAATTCGACTTTTCAAGTGGAGAAAGATACGTCTAAATATTTTTCGATACCGTTTGATAGAGAGTTATCCCGTGGTCTAAAAGAAATTTTTAAGAATGTCAATTATAAACTTGTGTATAGTGCTAATAATAAATTACAACTATTATTAGGTAATCCAAAAGATAAAACGCCTCCACTGGAAAGGTCGGGTATTTATGAAATTTCTTGTAAAGATTGTAATCAGAAATATGTTGGGCAAACTAGAAGATCAATATAAACTAGATTTAAAGAACATTTAGCTCAGATTAGATATGGTAGACCGGATAAATCTTGCGTTGCCGAACATATTGTTGATAAAGAACATTGTATAGATCTTAATAATTTAAAATTAATTAAAGTCTCAAATTACAGGCAATTAGATGCATATGAAAGCATCAGAATTAATAAATGTAAAGATAGTATGAACAGAGTCAACGGTCCAATTCCTTCAAGTTCTTTGTTCCTACTACTCTAGTGGCGGAAATTTAACTGTTACGCTCAGTGAGCTCTGACTCGGTTGGCTAGATTTTGCCACGCCCACTCGGTGCCCACTGGGCGAGTATATAAACGCTCAACTTGTAGATTGTACTTTAGTTTATAATCATCTGCTGATGATGCTAACATGGTTAGCGAAACGCGCGTCCAGTGTAAAAGTAAAAGTGTTTTGGTGTATTGTGGTGATTTAGTGTATTTTTATTTTGCAATATTTTTTATTTAAAAAACGGTCAAGTTTCCGCAAAAACGCCTAAACGCGTATATTTTATTTTGTTTTTTTTACATATTTTAAGATTTTTTAAAAATGTATACAGGGTGTTTCTAATCATCTGCTGATGATGCTAACATGGTTAGCGAATCGCGCGTCCAGTGTAAAAGTAAAAGTGTTTTGGTGTATTGTGGTGATATAGTGTTTTTATTTTGCTGTGTAACACCAAAGGTTCCAACCCTCAACTGTAATGTAGTTCTAATAGTCCTCCAACGAACACAAAACTTACAATTTGTTAAAATCTAGTTGTTTAGCTACTAATCAATGTTTTGTGTTTTTCTTTTCAATATTCACAATCTTTGTAAATATTGAAAAACACAATCTGGAAACAAAACAAAGGAAAATTTACTTAAGAAAATATATCATTTCTTTCTTGCCTGTTTCAATCCGAATCTACATACCAAAAACCCTTGTTTTTTCTCTGTAAATACACGCACACAGATAGAATGTAAACATCCCTTTAAATTGTTAGAGGGTTACGGCCTTACTTTGCATCTCCTCCAACCCAATCAATAAGGACTGGTTAAAATTCCCGTCAAGTAAACAACAAATCGAATTGTGTGTCTCCTCCGAAATTCAGCCTCCTAAACAGATTTCACCTGGGCGGTTCGTTCATGTAAATTGGCCAAAATCAAGGTAAGACTGAACGGTAATTTAATAAGTAATGGTCTGTTTGTAAGGACATTGCATGAATTAATTCTTCAGTCCCACGTTTACAAGTAGTGTAATTAAAAATCCCAAAATAAACATTATTAATTGAATTAAGTTTGTAGTGTAACAACCCAAGTTTGTCAACAAAGTTGAAGAGGTAATATTTTAGCCAACTGTATAACAAACAATTTAAATGAAAGAAAGGAACCTACGTTGTGTTAAAAACATTTTTATTGTGATTACCTCGGATGCGCCTCGACAGAAGAAATATTTTGGGAAAGAAATATTTTGGGAAAGATATTTGAGGAGAATAGGTCAGCCCTACTTATTTTGTTAAATGAAATGAATGGAGTGCCGTGATCTGCCTGTAATTCACGAGTAAAAGCACGGCAGAGAAAACCCCGATCACTATTCCAGAGAATTTAACTATGCTGTCCTGAACTTTAATAAAAGGGAAATAATAATAATATAGAGACTGTCCTTATACCAAGGTTTTTAGTTTCATACATTTAAAATATGCCACATTTATATCATTCAAAACTGAAAAGTTTTTGGTTAGTTAGCACTATTATTAGTATTCCCTAAGGCCCTGGTTTCAGATCTCGAAGTTGAAGTTGGATGTTTGGTGTAAATATCTTATTATTATATTTATTGTTTTTAGTTGTCCTTTGCGAACTAAGATATTCGCCCAATCACGGTCGAAAAATATTATTACATTCAACAAAGCCCTTATTGTTACACTGAACCAAAAACATCGGCACGACTGGACAGTAAATGATAGTATTTAGATTACTTTTAAACTGAAATTATCTAGAGCATAAATAGATTCCATTAAATGCATACATATGTAATATTTATATATTCTCAGAAAAACTTTAATGCTGAATATTACAACAGGAAAATGAAATATGTGCTCTAGTTAACATCAGTTAAATAATGAGAAAACATTTACTTTACCTTAAATAAACATTCTTTGTCACAAAATTTGCGAACCAAAATAATATCAATGCGTCTCGAATGCTAGTCTAAAAGCTATCATTTCACAACTATTATCTCTGGTTAGACGACCAGAGCTAATAGTTGTGAAATTAATAGTTGACAAAAAAGCAACCTAATTACTGACTCACAAACCTGAATTTATTTCATTTAGATATTTATCATTATCTCCAAATTTTAAACAATAATTACTAAATATTTAGCACGCTGATTTTTTAGACTATACTGTATAAAAATAAAAGATAAAAACACTAAAACTTGATTAATTGATATTTTAGTTTTGTAATGATATTTGTAATGGTTGAATATATAATTTCTAAATAAAGAAAATTGTTTTTAATGTCTTAATATTATTACTAGTCAAATTAATTCAGGTTTAGAATTTCAAACCTACAAAAGGGCATTATAATTGAAATTTGATATATTTTCAGATGCCCCGGAAGTGGAAGTGGAGAGGACCACAGTTCATACAGGCATTGGGTTGGAAGCTTTGTTAGTTTGCATTGTTTACGCGGAGCCAGCGGCACAGGTAAGTCTTTCTTTACCCTAAATTTGGTTTATACGATAGAGGTAGGCAATATTTTGCACACTATTTGGAAAAGTAGTATTAGAGATAAAGTTAAAACATTGTTAAAAAGTTCTGCCTTTGTTAAAAGATTTATTTATTATCTTTATTTTATGCTATAAAATTAATTCTACGAATATATAATCGCTTTAAAACGTCCTACGTTTTCCCATGCCATCTCTCCATGTCTGTGTCTGTCTCTGAGAGCGCTTTCCTCCATAAAAGTGTCAATCCCTTCCTGCCAACTTCTTTTCGGTCTACCCGGTTTTCTTCTTCCTGCAGGTTTCTAGTTTATGATTTGCTTTGGGATTCTTATTTCTGCCATTCTTTGGACATGCCCGTACCATATGGGTTGTCTGTTTTTTTTATCTCGTACACTTTTGTATGTTTAACTTCCATAATCTCTCTTATGCGTTTATTAGTAATTCGTTCGCGTCTCTTTTTGCCTGGTGCTCTCCTCCAAAAATCAATTTCTGTAGGTTCTAGCATTCATTTTGTTGTTCTTCTTTTCGGTCTACCCGGTTTTCTTTTTCGTGCAGGTTTCTAGTTTATGATTTGCTTTGGGATTCTTATTTCTGCCATTCTTTGGACATGCCCGTACCATATGGGTTGTCTGTTTTTAATTAGCCACACTTCACAGCTATTTATGGATATACTCTTGATCATGGTATTATATATTAATGTTTTGTTACTGTTCTTTAGCTTCTGTCCCACAGTATCCCATTTAATACCGTTATAGCATTCTTTCTAAGTTGGTTTTGTTCTTTAATTGCTGTATCCAAGGAAAATTTTGCAATAAAATGCGAAATTAATATAAGAAATTAATTATAAATATGCTGAAACTTGATATTTTGAGAAACCTTCCAGTTACTTACAGAAGCAATAACATAAAATACAAACAGAAAAACATTTCAGATAATTTAATATTCTTTACATTTTCAAATATTACAGGGATTCATAAAATACATTAAAATACTACACGCGATTACAAGTTTTAAGAATAATTTAACGTTAGGTTTCTATAATCGATTACCAATAGAATCGATGGTCATTTACCTTTGTTGTTCACGATACTATCTTCCTAACAAAATAATATATAATTATTTTTTTCAGAACCGGTCAATAATTTATGAATTTTTTATATATTGTCTAGGAAAATTACAGAAATTTATTTTTTTTGTCTAAAAATATGAATATTTATTACAGAAATAATAATTATTAATTAAACCTCTATTTTTTTCTGGAATACGTTAATATTAGGTATGAGTTAATTAATATACAGGGTAGTCCGAACTGTATTCCGGAAACTTCGGCAGCATATTCTGTAGATTAAAGTAGGTAAAAAAGTTCGTATCAATGTATGTCCGAAAATGCTTAGTTTCGGAGATACAGGGTGTAGAAGTTTCATTTTTATTTCGATTTTTTTCAAATAATTTAATAATAATAATAATAATCGTTTTTATTAAAGAAAAAGATGTGTAACATTACATATATTACACATCATGCAACAAGGGTGACGAAATTTAACAAAAAATGTTATTATTACATGGTTATTTTACATTTCTGAAGTAACGTCAATATTTGGATGAAAATTGGTGTCTGGGGGTTCTTTGACATGAGAAATTTGATTTTGATGCCAATATGACTCCTATTTGTAGGGGGCGCCACCTACATGTGTTTTAACTGTTTTGAAGAGTAATAACTTTTTGTTCGTACCTGTATAAAACTACTGAGTGAAAAAATATACATTTCCGTGACTTTTTACGTAAAAAATGTCTCTTGGTAAAAATCGCTACGAGCAACCGTTCTCAAGATATTTAGAATGGAAATCGTCAATACATGTCATTATTGACAAAAAATAAACATGTTGAGTAGATAGTTATTTTACTGAAATAATAGATTTGGGAATTTTTTTTTTTCAGTCTAATAACTATTTGGTCGACATGATTAATTTATGTCAATGAAGACAGGTATTGATAATTTCGATTCCAAATATCTCGAGAACTATTACGCGTAGCCATTTTTACCAACAGACCTTTTTTTACGTAAAAATCGCCGTAAATGTATATTTTTTTACTTAATAGTTTTATACAGGTACGGACGAAAAGTTATTACTTTTCAAGCCAGTTAAAAAATATGTAGGTGGCGCCCCCTACAAGTAGGAGTCATATTGATACAAAAATCAAATTTTTCATGCCAAAAAATCCCCAGACACTAATTTTAATCCAAATATTGACGTTACTTCAGAAACAATTTGGAAAAAATAGAAATAAAATTAAAACTTCTACACCCTGTATCTCCGAAACTTAGCATTTTAGGACATACATTTATACGAACTGTTTTACTTATTTTTATCTGCAGAATACCAGCCACCGAAGTTTTCAGAATACAGTTCGGACCACCCTGTATAGTTCATACCAAATAAACTTTTAGTCACCTGATTAAGCTTGACCGGTACAGCGTTGCCTATTTTGATATATTTTCTTTTAATCAAAATATCTTATGAAACAAGAATAAATTAATTATAAATATATAAACAGTTACTATTTACATCAACAAAACTAACCTTCTTAACAGCACTTAAAGGACATAGAGGGCCATTACCACCGTTCTACCGTTCAAAATATTCTAATAAAGTTGCGATGAGTTTTTTACGGCTATTAAGCTATCTTGTACGACTTCGCACTAAAAGAGGTTCTAAAAACAACAATGTTTGACTGCAATGTCTGCTAGTAAAAAAATTTAAGCTTAAAGTATCACAAAACTATTTATTTAAACCAAAAACTCGTGTCTAAAGTGTCAAAACGAATGACAATGTCAGAAAATAAATAAATAAATGTGGCAACTTGATATTTTTTTACAGCAGAGCTACCACCTGAATCCCCAACGCGAAATTTAAACTCCAGTTAGTCATCCCGGCGCCGAATATGTCCATGGCTGGCAACAATTCATTTAAAAATCGCGCCCTTGATTACGTATCTAAAAGTTTAATTGATATCAAATATATTTTTCTATATTTTAGAGCATACTTTACTTTATATTACAACTTTTATATGTATTGTCCTTTAGACTATCAATTTCTTCGGATAAAATTTCTCTCTTCAACTTTCTATATTTTCGTTTAAAGAGAGTAATTGAATAGTCGCACAATAAACTAAAATAAGAAAACAGCCAAAAGCTAACATTTACTAAAGAGTTTAGAAAGGGCATTTTCAGATTGATAAAGACTTACGACATTGGAAACTTTTGATGAAAAAGCTCGGTAAAACAACTTTATGTTTATTTGCAAAACATGTTTATTTTATTTCTTTTGCGAGGTCTAAAAATAGACAGCCCGGGGTGGCTTCAATTTGTGTTTGGAAGTTTAACTTTCTTTATGTACATTTGAGAGTATTAAGTGATCAGTTTGATGTTTATTTCATGAATTAGTTAATTAGCACTCTAAAAAGTACTATAGCATTTTAGTAACGAAACTTAAAAACAGTAAATAGAAAAAATATTTTTGTTATAAAATACATCACTAAAAAACATGTACTATTTTTATTCTTTTTTAACAACTGTTAGAATTCTATAAAAAAAACTAAAAATTTATACTGTTTTTATAACTGAATAAACTATGATTTGCTTTTATTTGTTTATTAGAACGAAGACACGAATGATAAATACTGGATATAAAACTTAAAGCACAATATTATGGTTCTTTTAATCGAATTCCAGGCTTTAATAAAAGACAAATAAAATAAACCTTATTACATAAATGACATAAATGGCACCCTTTTACTAAAACAAACATTGAGGGTAAACCATTTGTCGAAGAGAACAATAAAGCTGTTTACGACAAAAAGAGAAATATGTGGCTGTGTTGCGTTCCCACAGTAAAGAGGCCGATTTAATGGACAACAGTTACTTTTGAGGTTCGATAGAAACAATTGGACTAAGAAGAAAAGAAGTAAAGGAAACAATTTAGAGAATCTAACAGAAGTTTATCGTTTGTGGTAATTTTAATCTGTACTGATGTTTAACGCATTATTCTATTATTGTTAAGAAGTTTAGCTAGGAATTTAAATTATTTCGAACATCGATATTCTGATCATATATAGAACAGTGGAAATTGTATGGAGAAACTTTATTGGTAAATTGTATGTTGAAAACGCTGTGTCCCACGAATAATAAATACAACTTAATTTCCACAATAGTATGCTATAGAATAAATTTATTCTAGTCTCACTAATAGCTTTTTAAGGTTTAACAGCTTTAATACGTCTCTGATGTGTAAATATTTATTTAGTTGTTCAAATACATTGACTTTATAAGTACAAACTGTTGTCTAACCTTTGTATACTTTTATTTAATGAGAATAATTGAATCGTTCCACACTAAGCTTAAATAAGAAAACAGCCAAGAGCAAATATTTACTAAAGAGTTTAGAGAGGGCATTTTCAGATTTATAAAAACTTACGACATTGGAAACTTTTGATGGAAAAGTACAGTAAAACCATTTTATGTTTATTTGCAAAACATGTTTATTATGTTTCTTTAGCGAAAGTTCAAGGTTTAAAAATAGAGAGTGGAGTGGCTTCAATTTGTGTTTGGAAGTTGAACTTTATTTGTATTTGAAAGTTTTAAGTAATCAAGTTGATGTTTATTTCATGGATTAGTTAATTAGTGCTACAAAGAGTGCTGCAGGTTTTTTGTAACAAAATTTTACAAACAGCCAATGATAAAGATATTTAATTTTTAAATACTTTATGTAAAAACATGTAACATTTACAGTTCTATAATAATAACGGGATTACTTTAGATAGAAATTTAATTTTTTGAATTAAAATTCAAACTGTTTTCACAATTTAATTAATTATGATTCACTTTTATTTCTTTATGTAGAATGAAGACAACAGTGATGAATTCTGGAGACAGTCATTTATATTATTTTTCTAACAGACTTATTTCATATTATATTTCTTGCAAACACTATACTTTTGTATAACCGTGATTGTAATAATATACAATCACCAGATACATAAAGTATAAAATTCTTCTAAAGCACGATATCATGGTTCTTTTAATCCAATTCCAGGCTTTAATCAAAGACAAATAAATGAAACTTTATTACATAAATAACACCCTTTTACTAAAACAAACACTAAGGATAAGCAATTTGTCGAACAGAACAATAAAGCTGTTTACGACTGAAAGAAAAATATATGTGGCTGTGTTGCGTTTCCACAGTAAAGAGGCCGCTTTAATGGACACCAGTTACTTTTGAGGCTTGATAGAAATAATTGGGCGAAAAAGGAAAGACGTAAAAGAAACAATTCAGAGAATCTAAGAGAAGTTTATCGTTTGTGGTAATTTTAATGTGTACCGATGTTTAACGCATTATCCTAACCTAACAGTTTTAATGAGTCTCTGATTAGTACATCTTTGTTTAGTTGTTCAAATACATTGACTTTATAAGTATAAATTGTTGTCCAATCTTTCTATACTTTTATTTAATGAGAATAATTGAATCGTTTCACAATAAACTAAAATAAGAAAACAGCTAAAAGCAAATATTTACTAAACAGTTTAGAGAGGGCATTTTCAGATTTATAAAGACTTACGACATTGGAAACTTCTGATGGAAAAGTACAGTAAAGCAATTTTATGTTTATTTGCAAAACATGTTTATCATATTTCTTCGGCGAAAGTTCAAGGTTTAAAATTAGAGAGTGGAGTGACTTCAATTTGTGTTTGGAAGTTGAACTTTATTTGTATTTGAAAGTTTTAAGTAATCAAGTTGATGTTTATTTCATGAATTAGTTAATTAGTGCTACAAAGAGTGCTGCAGTTTTTTGTAACAAAATTTACGAACAGCCAATGGGAAAACTATTTAATTTTTAAATACTTCATTTAAAAACATGTACCATTTACATTTTTTTGTATTACCTGTTTCTGCTATAATAATATGTTAATACTAGTTTCTGCTATAATAATGTTAATACTAGTTTCTGCTATAATAACGGGACTAGGTAAGTAGAAATTTATTTTTTTGAATTTAAAAATTCAATCTGTTTTCGAAACTTTAATTAATTATGATTCACTTTTATTTTTTTATTTAGAATGAAGACAAAATACTGTATATAGTAATATACAATCAGGAAATAAAGTACAATATTATGGTTCCTTTAATCCAATTCCAGTCCTTAATAAAAGACAAATAAAATAAACTTTATTACATAAATAGCACCCTTTCACTAAAACAAACGCTGAGGGTAAGCAATTTGTCGAACAGAACAATAAAGCTGTTTACGACTGAAAGAAAAATATATGTGGCTGTGTTCCTATAATAAAGAGGCCGCTTTAATAGACACCAGTACTTTTGAAGTCCGATTGAAATAACCGAACCAAAAAAGAAAAGAAATAAAGTAGACATTTAAGACAAGTTAAGAGAGAAGTTTACCGTTTGTGGTAAAGTTTTTCGTTGATGACTTTTAGTATGTAGAATGAGTAGGAGGGGAGGGGTAATCACTTCAACCTTAAATATTTCTTGTGTCTCCCTTCCTTGGGTTATTATTATTATTACTCATCATATAGTATATAACCTTTCATAAATGAGGACTTTCCCGTTGAAGGGGGCGGGGTATTTTCCATCCTACTCTGACAACAGATGTTGTTCCTCCGATAGTATACACCCTTCCACGGTTGGGGTATTCGTCTCAGGGTAAGTTACCCGTGAGATGGAGGCTGGAGGATCTGTCTCCATTTTCTCCATCTCTTTAACTTATTCTTTCCTTGGATCCGATACCGGTATTACCCCGAATCTATAATAGAGGATATATTCCTCGTTCTCTATTGCCTCCTTGGATATGAGACCAATTCCTATTGTGAGGACCTGACCATGGCCCTCCTCCCGAGTTGATGACTCACCAACTCGATGTCCTTACATTGGAGTTCTTATCCTGGATAAGGCTTAGCAACTGTGATAGTCGTCCTTTCTGGGATGTTTTCTCCTTTTATTGCAACTAGATTCGACCCTTGCCAATTATTAAGCTTAGGTGCCACTTCCACCAACCAGTCCGCCGATTCTTGAGATGCACAACCTATCAAGAGTTTCCCATCCGAAAGTGTATCCCCTCAAAACGCAGCTGACATTTTGTGGATAGTTGCATTGCCATCCGCTCGCTATTCCTTAGTCCAGTATCGCCTTTTTGAGAGACGTTTGCTAGTCAGTGTAGCCTTTGTGTAATCCTTTTGTATCACTTTCATTTTCACTTGTCCAGCTATAGCGACAAAGTTGGCTTGCCTCTCGGTGTTGGACGGCTTTCCATCCTGGATTTTCTCTCTTTGTCGGAGCAGAAGTGAGAGGTTCTTGCTCCCTCTCTTGTCCTTTGTTGGAGATGTGCCAGGATGTTTCTTGATTCTTTTACTTTCCCCTTTTTCGAGAAGTGTTTTTGTTTTTGCTTCCTTTGGAGCAAATCCCTGATGACGTTTAACACACTATTCTATTATTGTTAGAGAGCTGAATTGAAAATTTGAATTATTTAGGACATTAGTATTCTAATCATATATGGTACACTCGAAAATGTATGGAGAAACTTTACTGATAAATTATATGTTGAAAACGTTATGTCTCGTGAATAATAAATACAACTCATTTCACAAAATAGTATAATATAGAATAATAATAAAATTATTCTAGCTCGTGGCTTTCTAAGCTTTGAAAGTTGTAATGTGTGCCTGTTACGTAAATTTTTTATTTGTGTCTCCCTGTAGAGAGATTTTTAAAATTGATTGGAATATTTCAATATAAAGTTGATTGAAAACGTGCTTACGTCATACATTTTTCGAACCCGATATTATCGAGTAAAAATTTCATATAAAATATAAATTACTTAAAAATATCCCAAAAGGAAAAACATTTTAATAAAACACGATTAAAGAAATTTCCCATGGGGAAATTTCCCTGTATAAGCCACTTGGTGCTTTATTGGCCGTTATATAATAAATATGATGTTACACAAAATCGATACACGTTTACCATTAAATGTATTAAAAAGTATTAAGTTTATTAATGTGTAATGTAATGTGATGTAATCAGAAACAGTGAATCGATATATTTGTTTTAAAATTTTATAGGCAAATTTTTACTGGCAGTTTAAAAATTCTATTTTTATTTATGGGCTATGAAATATTAGAGAGTTTATTTTGTTGGCATGATATATTGCAAAAATTTTAATCAAAATCGTTGAATATCAATTTTTCTTCATATTTTTGTTCTAATATTCTATGCATTTTTATTAAAATTACCATATAAAAAATTCTTTAAACTATTCAGGTGTTCAATTAATATTTTCTTTGTTTAAGGTTATTTGGTTTAAAGACACTACACAGCTGGGTACAACAGAGCGACATACAACACATGCCAGAGGAAACAGATATACGCTATCTATCAGAAATGTATCTGCAGCAGATATGGGTAACTACAGGTAAGTTTTTTGATTACCTTTATACACCGGGTTAAGAATCTGCTCTATTGATTTTATAGAATAAAATTTGATTGTACATTTTAAAGTGCTGGACTAGATCATGCTACCTATGAACTTTGGAACTCTTTCTCTAAGCCGTTTTGAAATTATTTGCAAAATTAGATCCTTGAAAAAAATTGTGTGTGCACAGCCATGCCACTCTAGATTGAAATTTAAAATATGATTTATTTTAGTCGAGAATGTCAAAAGTTGACATGTGATATGTCATCCTATTCAGAGTGTCATTTTCTATCGAATAATGTATAAAAATACCAAAGGTGCCATTTAAAAATCAAGTTGTAGTCATTTTCGATGAAACAGGAAGTGACCGAAAACAAATGAATACGTCAATAAATCCTAATTTATGTGATATACTAACATACCAAATCTCGTTTTTTATCTGAAAAAATATAAAAGTTATAGGTGTGAGCCACTTATGAGAGGCACCCAGTATTTACTTAATGGTAAATATGTTTTGCATTATTAATAATTAGTTTGAATCTTGAGAACGTCGAACTATCCCGTAATCAAAAGCAGCATAAGTGGTAGAGAGAGATGTAAAATTTATATGTGCTTTGTAGCGAAATCCCCCCAACAGGTATTATAACCTGCGCCTGACTGCGTATTTGCCTCAAACTAATCCAAGATAAAGCTAGATTAGGCATCGCATCGCGCGATCGTAAACAATTCAGCGGTACGCTCAAATCGCCTAATCCGATCTATTTGAAGTGGATCATACCGACACACGAACCTCGATGGACAATTGGGTTTGCGGTCCAATTGTACGTAATATCTCTCCAAACAAAATAATCACTGTATAACGACACAAATACAAATGAATTTTGGTATTATATTTTAGTAAAATTTTACATAATTTGTTGAGTTATGAGAATCAATTTCTAAAATTATCTAACTAAAATATTTAAAATAGAGTATTGTAGCAAATATATTAAACATACCCCGCTGGCAAGCGAAACCTTGGGTCGGCATTTACATATATAGGAATGAATCGTCATGGAAAAAAAATACTTGCCTTCTGTCTTTATTCAGTACATCTTATTTTGCTCAGCGTGTTGACCGTATTCTTCGTACACAAAAAAAATCGGCACCCAAGGCCAGAAATGCGAACTGTAGTATACAATGTACATTAAGTTATACCGTGTTGGCAACTGTTACTTTTGGGTCGCTATTTACATGTGTGGAAGTAAATCGCAATAAGTATCTTATTAAGTCGCAGTGAGAGAAATGCGAAGGTGTGCTGTGGCGTTGTTGCCGGTACGCCTTTCGCTATCAAGTAAAGTAAAATCATGATCGCAAACCGCTTATTTTTAAGACTTTTTTTGAAAAAGTAACTAGATAAAATTATTAGATATGTTTCTGAGCATCTGAAATGGAATTATAAGGATACCGTTAAGGTGTCCATTTTTTTATAACGAGAAAACGTTAGTAATCGCGATAATTTAAAAAACTTTTTTACACATAACACGCCATAATTTAAGAACCACTTTAGATATTGAGGCTTTTTCTATTTTGATGATCGGATCATTTACAATATGTTTTTAGTGCATAGCAGTTTTCAGCAATCTGTAACTTTTTTATTTATAAAGATTTTTGCATACTGCCTGCGAAGAAAGTTTTTGAAAAACTACAATCAATTAATTTTAATAGATTTCGAGATATCGATTTTTGAATTCAGAGTTCTAATAACGCGACCACTGTCGAACACCAACTCAATTCCACTTATTTTTACCAAAAATGCAAGTGTTTCACACTTGCACTTAAAAATTTTCAAGCTATAGGGAAAATTACAACGACTCGCTAATAAATAAACAAATGAATTATCACGAGACGTAATTAAATCGTGAAGCTGAACGCATGATGTACACTTTTCCCTAGAACTTTAACTAATGACAGAGATACTAATTGAGTCAACCCGGTTAACCGGACGACTGCGACAAATCTGCAATATCCCCTTCCACGTCTCTTAGCAATGTGCACAGTTTCTCGGTTTATTTCATACATTTGGCAACCTGTTCACGGTTGCCTCTTTGTTCAGTACATTAAAAACGCATTGTACTCTTCTTACATACGACAATCTCAATCCAAGACTAACCTTTGCCAGCCCTTAGTATAGTGTTGTTTTATATACTATACATAACAATTAAGAGAAGAATAAATTTAGTTTTAGTAATTATTCTTTTTGTTTCGTTGAAAGAGTGTTTTTTAAATTTTTCTCTGATCACGAACAGTTTCGCGTTACTATGGTATTCGCTACTAGAGTTATTATTTTTGAAGTGAAACTTCTTTATGCGCGTTGGGGGAAAAATTCAAGACTGTGACACGACATGACCTTGACCATCCCTTGACGCACGAGCTGGCGAGAAAAAAAGTGGTAAGGATTGCTCAAAGACCAAAAAAGATTTGATTTAAAGCTAAGAAAAGCATTATAATAAACTTACTGTACCTGGGCTCCAATATGCTCTAGTTGTGTGCTAGGAAGTAAATTTTCATGCATATTTTCATCGATAAATTTCTAGCTTCTGAATAACAGTCTAGGTAAAGCATGTAGCTCATTTGCTAGCTTATAATTAGAATTATTAGAGTTAGTAACTCGCATTTTCATTGGAGGACATCGTCATCGACAAAATTACTGTAGAATAATTATTGGTTATTTTCATGATTTTTTGAAAAATAATCTCAAGTAGACTTCATAAAATGGCTACGAGAATGTGCAATTAGTTTTTTGATTTTTTAAAAAGTAACGTCAGAAAAAATAAAATGCTCTGTATACTTACTTAATGTTAAATATGTTTTGCATTATTAATAATGAATTTGAAATTGTTTTATTTAAATCTACAGAAGGCTATTGATTATATGACCAAATCTAATAGTGCAGGTCGACAAGATAGGCTTCATTTGTGCCTCAATCATACTACAGAAAGGGAGAACTATTCAGCATGCAAATTGCAATATTCTAAAATTTATAAGCTTACTCGGTCGTTGTCGAATATTCAACAGTGTTGCCTATTCAAAAGGAGACTAATTAATGTCAACCGCAGTAGCCATCCTTACCATAGCTCTCCATTACTTAGCACAATGTCACTTGTCAGGGATTTAAAAGAACACATAGGAGGATTGAGCAATTAGATAATCGTTCAAACCATGCAAAAATGTGGGCGCTATTTATGTTATAATGCAGTTTAATTTCTTTGGTGATGAAGCTAGTCAGTCTGATACATCTCAAGATTTTTGTGCTTCATTTTTTTATATGAAGATTTCAAAAAGTGTACAGAGTGGAGATAGACGAAAACTAATATCGGTGTCTGGAGCTCAATTTTTATCAAAAACATGATGGTGAAAACAGCACATCGATATCTGTTACCGTTTCGGAGTTACGGGGTGTTTTTCAAAAATGTGCATTTTTAACAAATCGCTGTAACGTTTTTTGCTTGCTATGGAAAATTTTGTATTTTTATGAAAACATTTCCAAAGCACCTTTTTACGTAGAATTTAATGGTTTAGGTATAATTTTTTTTAAAATTAATAATTAAGACATTATCAAGAGAAAATTTGATATTTTATATAGAATTTTTTTTCTGTATATTTTTTTTTCATTGAAAATAATTTAAAATTAGGTACCTTTCCAAAAATATAGCATACTTGATACTTTGCTCGATTCCTTTTCGAGGTATAGAGTTTTTAGAAATTCGCCCACATTGAATAAGTAGACTTGGAACGGCGCTGGCTGTATGCAAAAAAATTCTAGCTGTGAGCAGCAATTAAAACAAAAATAATATTTGCAATGAGAGATGCAGAATTTTATAATAATTTAAACTATATTTGAAAGCGTCCACACATTTAAACTATATCTAATAACAATAAACATAAATAAGATAATAAAATTATATAAGGATTCTTGCCACTTAACTGCTAATATAGAAATTTAATTCTACGCTGTGTTTGTCATAATGCGGATCAACCTGCTCTCACTACCGGTTTCGGAGCCCTACTTCATCATCAGGTGAGCTTGGGAGATCCACAAAATGACAACCACAGCGCAGAGATAGTTAATTCCGACTTATCGGAAAGTATCGGTTAGATATTTAGAATTAGAATTAGATATTCGGAATTAACTCTCTGCGCTGTGGTTGTCATTTTGTGGATCTCCCAAGCTCATCTGATAATGGAGTAGGGCTCCAAAACCGGTAGTGAGAGCAGGTTGATCCGCATTATGACAAACACAGCGTAGAATTAAATTTCTATATTAGCAGTTAAGTGGCAATAATCCTTATATAATTTTATTATATACCTCTACTGCAAGAAATTTGTTTTCTACTTTATAATTTGGCTTGCCTGAAAAAAAGCCTTTTACCATCCTTTTACTATCGATAGTTGCGCCTCGGTGGTACGAAAGTACTACCATTGCACGCAGGCCGCTATCTTCCGTTCGGGACTTAATATCTAACCGATACTTTCCGACAAGTCGGAATTAACTATCTCTGCGCTGTGGTTGTCATTTTGTGGATCTCCCAAGCTCACCTGATGATGGAGTAGGGCTCCGAAACCGGTAGTGAGAGCAGGTTGATCCGCATTATGACAAACACAGCGTAGAATTAAATTTCTATATTAGCAGTTAAGTGGCAAGAATCCTTATATAATTTTATTATATACCTCTACTGCAAGAAATTTGTTTTCTATAAATAAGATATTAAGCATGAGATTTCGCTACAGGTGTTCGACCTGTCTTCTGTTATGGACAGGCGGGACCATTTTTGAATATTTCTTGTGGAATTCATTAATTCAGTGGGGGTAAAAGATACCAGCGCATAATTCTTATCTATATTATACAGGTAATTTAAAAATAAGAACTTTTATTCTTTCGTAAAGTTTAAAATCCATTAGCGCTAAGTCCGGCGGCCTCGACAGCCAACGGCTGGGATCTTGGTTAGCTCTATTCAATT